AAAGACCTTATAGAGAAAACCACATTTCTGTACTATTGTCTGCATAGAATTCAAGTGCACAGTACTTGGGCCAAAATAATTTGGCAGATTCAGAAGCAAGAAATAAGAAAAATGATGGTGTCTCCAAAGTGACCCTAAACCCACTCTGTACCTTGTTCTGACATTGCTCAGCTACCTAGAGGCCTGCTGCTGGTCTTCTAGAGACGCAAACAATCCTCTAATGGCTCTATGAAAGTGATTTATATGCAGTCGAGGAATATCACAATACCAGTTCTGTGGTCAAAGAAAAGCGAATTTTAACCTTGGTACCCTGGGTTTTGGTTTGTCAATTATGTAAAGAAGCTCCCAACAGTGTACTTGTCTGTCAAATATTAAACACCTGGCAACCTGCCACATCCTGTGGCATTTACATCTTGTTTTTGATTTAAAAAGCAGCATCATAGTTGGGTTTCCATTTAAGTGGCTTCCAGGCTTTTGAATTGCCTGGAGTTGAATGAAAATATGTTTTACCAGGTGTTTTTAAAGCAGGGTTCCTCAGAAATCTGCCAGAGGAGTTGGGAACTGATTTGCTCATATGTGTAATTATGACTGGTGCTCACCGATCTCTAAAAAAACAGAAAGACATTGTAAATCTATAACAATCCAATTCTTTATATTTTTATGAGACCATGTTAAACCTGTATCGATGGCTTAAGAGAAGAAATATCTTTATTTAATAGAGTCATACCAAATAATGGAAGACCGTGAAACAAGTACTTGTTATTCTAGGGGAGCTCTCACTTCCTGCTGGAATAAAACCATAAAGCACCTTTTTGCAGGGGCTCATGCATAAGGCAACTTCATCAGGTGGAAGAAATTGATAGCCCTGACCTCTAGTCTCTCTGAGATAGAGATTAACATTGAGCATCCCATTAACTAGGAATGCTCACATGTTGGGCACATGTGTAGGTGAAGGAAAAGCAGCAGAACTGGGCAGAGGACCAAGGCCACTTAGAGAAGCTGGGCATGTGAGAACTAGGGTAGCCCTTTAGTGCTGTAATGAGGGCAGTGCATCTCAGCTCTGGTTTCCTGATTGATCAACCTGTGAATGAAGGCTCCTAGGGAGGGCATAGTCTTTTGGAAAGGCGAGTTCTTTAGCTAAAGCAACATCCAAGGAAGGTGAGCAACAGGGAAGGTTGTCTCTACACAGAACTCCCAGCAAATGAAGGGATAAGTCCTTCATTCCTGAAGGGGGATTTGAAGAGCACAGGATCTGCCGCACTATCTCATGACTTAATTTTTTTTCTTAAAACTTAATTTTCTAAAACCATGTTGCTTTTGCCATCTCCTATCTGAAAGTATCAATCAGTGATCAAAAGTGCCAGATTGATAGATAAGCTTTTGTTTTCCTTTTACAAAAGGACACTAATTCAAACTTTATGTTAATTGAGTGTCTATGTACACCTTTTTTTAAAAAGATTTATTTATTTATGCCTACAAGAGCTGGGACACAGGCCAGAGATTCGGGGGGGGGGTGAGAGGATTCAGAGACAGAGTGGGAAACAGAACAGGCAGACTGACAAATACACTGCTGAGGGGAGCAGCGGGCAAGACAGGAGAGGTCTACTTCGACATGTTGATATCTCCCTGGCTGGCTGAAGATCAATCTCGCGCTGTAGAGGCTGTGGATTGCTTCACAGTGTGGTGCTTAACCCATTGTGCTACCAGGGAGGCCCTCTATGTACACTTTGAATTCAAATATAGAAGGGATTTGCAATGATTTGGCAAATCAATTTCCTGTTCTCATGGAATTTACAAAATCATTTGTGATTAATACAATCAAATCAGTTAAAGTGCCAACTCTTAGCATATTTCAAAGACTTTATGCTTCTGTTCTCTACCTGCTATATGAAGACCTCAACCCCCACCCCATCCAATCTCACGAATTTTATGTTTTTGCTTCTTTGCCATATTTTGCATCACCTTTCTAATTGAACCTATTGTGCCTGTGTCAAAATTTCCCATTGCTCCCTCTCCATTGCTTCATATTAACTACTAATATCTCTGATCTAACATCTGAAAAAACTTAGAATAATGTTTTAAAATGTGAAAATTACCATTTAAAAGCTGAAACCATAAAATACAAAATACATAGAAGAAAATATCTGCCATATTCTCTTAACACCAGCCTTCAAGATATGTTTGGGGACTTGAACACAATGGCAAGGGAAACAAAAGCAAAAAAACCCCTAAAAACAACAAACCCAAACTAGACTATATCAAACTAAAATGCTTCTGCACAGTAAAAGAAATGTGCATCAAAATGGAAAGAGGTCTTGCTGATTGAGAGAAAATATTTGCATATCAGAGATCCAAAAGTGATTAATATCCAAAATATAAAAATAATCCATAAACAATAAAAACATAATCCAATTAAAATTGGGCAGAGGATATGAATAGGCACTTCTCTAAAGAAGACATACATACAGATGACCAGTAGGCACATGAACAGATGTTTGTCATCTCTTATTATTAGGGAAATGCAAATCAAAACAATGAGATACAACCCCACATGTGGAAATGGTTATTATTGAAAAGACCAGAAACAGCAAGGTTAGGGAGCATGTGAAGAGAAGGGAAGGGAATCCTTGTGTCCTGTTGCTGGGACTGTAGATTGGTGTAGCCATCACGAAAAAGCAGTGTGGGGATTCCTCAAAATATTAATAATAGAAATACCACATTATCCATTTCTCCCACTTCTGGGTATTTACCTGAATATTGGAGATGTTGGGGGTTTTCCAAAAATTGGAAGAATGCTGTTTTCTCAGAAATGAGAAAAACATATGAGCTAGATAAATATTTTGAATTACTGCCTTCTTGCTAATCAACGTGAGATTACACAATTTTCTTTCTGTGATGCACAGCTGCTCAAATTTTCAAGTGAACTGGATGAAACAAACCAGATACTTCATGTAATTGATTACAATCTGTGCTATTTAACAAGGGTTACAATTTCACCTAAGTACCATATAAGCGATTTGTTTAAACATCTCAGTTATATTTTATGAGTTAAATTTCTTCTGTAATTGTGAGAGGAATGAAGCCATTAAGACTTCCTCTTTGGCACTGTCACCAGTATTTCCATTAGTTTGTCAAATTAAACATTATATAATGCTATTAAAAATGACTGTATTAAACCAATTTCTCTATAATGTAAGTAAATGTCTTACTTATTCATGTAAGACAGTGGTTCTCAAGACACTAGTGGTCCCCATACTAAAAACATTTTGTTTTTTCAGCATCATTTTTTAATTTTTTAGAAATGCAAATTCTTGGGCTCCACCCCAGATCTGTTGATCAGACTTGTCTGTATTTTAACATATTCTCAGCTGTTTGTATCTTAACATATTCTCTCTTTAACAAGTGACTCTGATATGCTATGATGTTTGTGAATTAATGATTTAAGATATTGATTTTTTTTTTGTCCTGACTGAGCATTGCAGCCATCAGTGGGACTTAGGAAAATACTGAGGCCTGAGTACCACCCCCAAGATTCCTATTTCAGTGGTCTGAGGTCATATGGGCATTGGATTTTTGAAATCCCCTGAGGTGATTCTAATGTGTAGCCAAGGTTGAGAACCATTTGTTTAATAGGATCAAAAGAAATAGCATCTAGATTTGATAATTGTTGGTCACTGAATGGAATCAGAGCTGGAAGCTATCACTGGCATTTTAAGATAGCTCTTTGAGATTGGCCCTGTCTTCATCTGAGTCCAATTAAGGAACTTAAGTGCCTCCAGAAAGCAAGCAGACTGTTGATCGTTAGAAGTGGCTTCCTTGTTCCATTTTAACATAAAACTCTTCGGTCAAGAAAATCCAAGCTGCTCAGTCAGTGGTATATATGAGGAGGATATTGTAAAATGAGCTTTGTTGCTAAATGGAGAACTTCTATTGAGAGAGGAAAATCAATTCTGGACCATCCCCAGATATAGAGGGTATGGATGGGGTGCTACCCTAATTTGTATTTTTATATCTTGTTCTTCAAGTTGAAACAAAACTGTGGGACTCTATTGGCCTCAAATTCCCCATTTAAACCAGCACTCAAGAAATATAACCCAAGTTTTCTCTGTATTAGAAAGCTTAGCCTTCTCATAATCCCCCAGCTGTAAGAGGTGCTATTTATTTGTGGGGCATGGTGAGTTGGGGGACCAGGGATATCTTGAAATTCAAGATGTGGAGGAAGGTTGATTCTCTAGAGGTGGATTTAAACTCACAAAATGCTGAGAGTTTTACACATTGCGGAAGACCTCCAATTACAAGTTATTTGATTTAAGGGGGAAATTTGCTAAACTAAGAGTAGATTCTTACTCTGGTAATATCTCTGTTAATAAAGTGAAGAGGAAGAGTGAAGCCAGGAAAGGTTTGTGAGCAGGTATGGAAGAAACTTTTTTCTGTCATTTATATGAGCTTCAGTCTGATATGTATTCTGCTGGATAATTTGGAACCATCCCTATCATTCCCACAAGCAATAAATCCAACTAAGATTTTGCAGGCTGATGTAGTCCTGAAACAGGGAAACATCCCCCCACACCCATATCTCTGGCATTTTGCCCCAGAGCATTGCTTGTGGGCAGTGCAAGCGGCCTGGGGTGATGGACATTTTACTGCCTGCAACCTGTGGCCCCACTGGGTCTCAGACTGGAGGCAGAAGCCATCAATGATGGTGGATGGCAATGGCTCCCCTAATATGCTGCCCCAGGGCAGGCAGCCCCTTGCTCAGGGCTACAGGCAGGAGTGTGGGGCCCCACTGGAACAACTCCAATATTTTGGCTCCCTCCAGCTGCAGGCAGTAGAGAGGCCTTTGGATTTGTTGCTTGCCTCATAGAATGGCCTGATCAGGTGCAAGCTATGAATTGATTGAAAATGGTCCAATCAGACTTGTAGGTGGGGGGAGCCTGGAAGGAGGATATAAAAGGCAGAGCAGGCATCAGCTTGGAACTCAAAACACTCTGTGCCTGACCTTTGAAGAAAGAAAGTAGTCAAAGAACTCTGCAGAGGCCAGGAATGGCTGCCCTCCAGCCCTGCCTCTGACATCACCTGAAAGGAGCACCAAAGGCTCTGGGCCTGGCGTCTTAGAGAGCTGTGCTATGGGCCAACAACTTACAAAAAGCTGTTAGCACTGGTGTTTGACACCGCCTACTAGTGACTGGTGGTCACCAGCACTGGTGGCTAGAGCTGCCCCCGCACTGTTGATGGGTGATCATCTCACTTTTGAGAGCTGTTGATCTTCCAGCACCAACTCCTGGTGCTGCTGCCTTTGTTTGCTGTCTGGTCCAGCATCTTGGTGCTGTCCATCACAACCTTCAGACTGTTGTTGTGGCTGCTGTGGCATCACCTCAGCGGCCCCACCTGTGAGCAACTCTGGCTGCGGTGAGTTGAATCTTGGCCTACTGCTTGCATGCATGCCATGAGCTCCAGGCCTTTGTTGGCATGATGGCGCCATTTTGGACGAGCGGCTTTTTGTTTGGGATTTCTGAACACTCTCTGAGGTGAGAGCTGGCCATTGTGGCCTTGAGAACTCTTTGTTTCTCCCATTTGTTAAATAAACCCCATTGTTGTTATTCCCTGAGCCTGAGGGGTCTTGAAGTTGTGTGTATGCGTGAAGACTCCACAGACTGTGTGACCTGTTCTCTACCTGGGCACTGTCTTTGTGACTTACTATAACACCACTATAGGCCTGTTTCAGTCCTAAATTCCTTAGACTCTGAAGGTGAAACTTGTTCTCCGCTCTCGCTCCCACTGCAACTGATTAGGGGTAATTCAGCTAAGACGCTGCTAAGGCAGAGTGATATGGACTGACCTGAAAATAGCAAGCCATTGCCCTGGGGTTTTTTTTGTTTTTTTTTTTTTTTTTTTCCCCAAAGTACTCCCCAGCATGTGAATATTAGAGAACTAGCCTGTCCCTTGGTCCAGATGACAGAGTGGCAAACACCTTGATAATTCCTTCTAGGCTGGGTATTGGTTAACATTAGAATAAAAATCTAAGCAGACAGTTGTCTTCAGCCAGTTCTATTAGAATGTTAGAATTTATTGTATAAGAAGTTTTTCTCTCGTCAAAGATCGTCTTAGGAATTTAGTGAATGCTTTATAGCTTATAGAAACATGAAAATAGCAGTGATTACTTATATCAGCAGATTTTGACTGTCTATTGTTATACCAGGTTTCTGAGGCATAATTCATTTTTCTAGGGTTGTTTAATGGAGATAGTATAGAAATCTAGACATCTAAAAACTACTTTTCTTGGAAATGAGCCAGATTTTTTTTTTTTCCCCACAATCTTAGCTTAATACAACCAAATTCTTGTAGAACTGCACTTCTACTTTGGGTTTTCATTATAGTCCTTCTCCGAAATTTTCAGTGATTCTGAACTTTGGGTTTTGAGTCTCTCACCGTGAAGATGTTCTGACTTAGTACAGAATTTGATATGGTCAAATCAAGTCAGACATATTTTTTGACAGCATCTAGAAAATTTTATCTCAAAGTGACCCTGATTGTAAACATTTGTAGGACTTCCTAGAAATGAACACATCTGGAAGAAGATATTCCAGGTGGCAGGGCTGAAATGCTGAATTTTGGGCTTCTTTTAAGATAGAACTTGGAGTTGAGAAGGAGGCCTGGATTTCTCTCACATGATTTCCAGCAGGAGTGTGAGTGACCCAGACCTTACTTAATTCTGATTGGGTAGTATATTTGGTGAATAGTTTCACTGCTAGTTAAAAGTTTCTGAGAGGGAACATCTTCTCCAGACCCACTAAGGTTAATGTTGCTAAGACACTGGGTGCAATTTATTTTAAATGAGGAAAGCCCTGATGTTTTAACATACAGCTCTCATTCTTTTCTGTTGTCAGTGTAGAAAAACATGGACCCTGGGAATGCTTGCTTGTTTCTTCCAGCAGCTGGGTGGTCCAGCCCAGACCATTTGTTAAACATTATTGAAGGTGATTGGATAAAGATAAACACTTTTTGGCAGGAATAGGAGTCAGGTAGTAGCAGCTGCTAGATCCCATGAGTGAAAATGGAAATTTGTATCTTCATTAAAAGTAGCCTGTTGGTGATGATCCCTGAAGAGTTGGAAGTTTTCCCCTTACAGGCTGAAGAATGATTTATGAAAAATAGCACCTCTCTGTTGGCTTCATGTGTTATGTTTTTGCCCTTTGAGGTGACTGAGGCACATGATCCTGGCGCTGCATGGCCCTGACGCTATGTAGCTTTTAACTCTTATGACACAGCAGGAAGTAGTGCCTTGGGCTCTCTCAGAAGTCCAGGTTTTCAGACCCTGTGCTGGGACAAACCATTTACTGTCTCACCACATCCCCTCTGTGAAATGAAGGCAGCAGTGACTCTTCTTAATCTCTCAGGAATGTCATGTAGATAAAGGTAACCCTTAAAGAAGTGGTGGTGGCTCTTTGAAGAAAGGGTCTATGTAAATACCAGATAATAATAAGAATGATAAAAACTTCAAGCATCTTGAGTGTGGGAAAGAAGTAATTTAGGATGAAACCACATCAAATAGTTATTTCTTAACTGCTGTTTCCTGCACTATGTTTATCTTTGATGAATTTAATCCAGTCGATTACAACACATGTACAGCACAACTCTGTGGTGAATTCTGGAAGTCAGGGATGTGGGGCTCGAGGGAGAAGTAGGATGGAGGGTCTGGGTGACTTCCTGTGTCTCCTCTGGGAGTTGAGTGGTAGCAAAGAAGATGATGATGGCCTTTGCTCTTTCCTAAAGATAACTAATGTAAGGGGATCCTGCCCATATTAGAGACTACTTCTAGTGTGTGTTGATTATAGCATTATACTTACTGGTGGATGTGCTTTTTTTTTTTTTTCCTGATTGTCAATTCCTAGAATATGAGGAATGTCTCAGTCACAGTAATTTTCATATCTGATCAAATGTCTAACACATGGTGCATGATGAATGAAAAATAATGTAGGCTTCTGGACTTCCTTGTTGGCACAGGGGTTAAAGTCAGTGCTATCAAGCTATCACCAGCCACTGAAGCATGAGTTCTATCCCCAGCCAGGGAGCTAACCCACATGGCTCAGCAGACCTCTCTGTCTCTCCCACTGCTCCCCTCAGCAGTATATTTCAGTAGATCCTCCTTTTTTGCTCCCCACTCTCTCTCTGGTGAATCCTCTTACCCCTGCCCCTCTGGCCTGCATCCCAGCTTTTGTATGCATAAATAAAAATAAATCTTTAAAGGAAAGAATGTAGGTTTCTATTTAAGTGCCCAATTTGTTATGTACACGTCTAAACAATTTTACACATGAGAGCATATACACTTCCCATTGTAGCCATGGATACCATGAGCAGTGCAGTGCATGGCTGTGCTTTGCAGCTATAAAAGAGATTGTTGGAGGGTAAGAGATATAGTCACAGAAGTAAAATATATGTAAATCTCTGCCTATTGAAACCCGGAGTTTAGGTTTGACCAATGGTTCTGTAGAGAGCAACCTTGTACCCAAGTGTTCTTTGACAGTGGTCTCAAAATACATCAGTATCATTTGAGAGCTTGTTACAAATGCAGATTACTGGGCCAAAGTTAGACCTATAGACTTGGAAGTTCTAGAGGTCGATAGGGTCCACAAATCTGTTTTATCAAGTCTTCTAAGTGGTTCAGTGCACAGTGAAGTTTAATAAATTTTCTATGTAATTGTGAGAAGAGTGAGGGTTCAGAGAGAATGTGGGAAGTATCTATGAAATCCTGAAACAGTAGAAACCTCTTTAGGAATGTGACCTTGTTAAAAGTGGGTAGGGGGCATCCCTGGTGGCGCAGTGGTTGAGCGCTGGGTTGTGAAGCTGCCCACAGCCTCTGCAGCGCCGGTTCGATCGCCGGCTCCTCCCCGGCCACCAGAGGAGGGTCCCGCATGGCGCGCAGACCTCTCCTGCCGCCCGCTGCTCCCCTCAGCAGTGTACTTTGGTCCTTCTGCCTGCTCTGCTCCCCGCTCTGGCTCTGGTGAATTCTCTCACCCTCCCACGCTTCTGACTGTATCCAGTGCTTGTATGAATGAATGAATGAATGAATGAATAAACAAATAATCTAAAAAAAAAAAAAAAGTGGGTAGGATAGGGTGGTGACAGGTATCAGCCATTCATCTCTGTTGGGATAACTCAGAGCTGCCAAGCTAACTCTTTTAAGCAGCCAAAAGGAAGAAGAAGTCTCCATGGCTATCCACATTCAATCCTCATCAATGTGTTCGTCTGCTTTTGTTTTATAGATGTGCAAAATGAATACAGATGGCACGCAAAGCTTGCCCAAGCCACACTTTTGAGGGGTAGTGAAATACTGATTCAAACTCATGTGTTCTCACTCTAGGTCAGCGAGTTCTTAGACTAGCTTGGTATTGGGATACTTAGGGGAACTTGGTAAGCACAAAAGGATAGGCCCTGGCCTAGTGCATGGAGCCTGGGCTTCTGGTTGCCCTACTAGCTACTCCAGGTGATTCTGATACACTTCAGATTTTAATTGTGGAGAATTCTCAAACCTCACTAGGAACACTGAAGAAACAACAAAAGGGTTCAGTCTATATCCCTAATGGATGATATCAGAAGCTCCGGCTGGGCCTTGGTATCAGCCTTTTTTCAAAACTCCCGGTGATCTTAGGTATAGCCAGGGTGAGAGGTGATTACCCCTATGGAGTCCATACTCTTAACCACAGGATGCAGTTGGGGAGGTGTCCACACCACCTTGTGCAATGTCTGGGAGGTAGTTGTACTTTTCTTCAGGTCCACAAACTGCTATCCTCCCAGGGTGGGTGTAGGGTAAGTAAAGTATCAGGCTTTTCTGCCCTCCCGCCATTAGGATTGATGATGGATCCTTGCGGTCCTGAATGCATGCCTGATGGTAGGCACCTGGAGTAGGGTGTGGGCATATGTAGATGGGATTCACCTGGGCTTATAAGGGCGGCGTCACGGGGACACCAGCAGAAAAGCCGAAACATGAGAGCAGCAGAGAACACTGGAGAGCCCAGATAGAGTGAAGACTTGCTGGTGAAGACCTGCCAGCCTCCCAGAGCCCAGACAGAATGAAGACCTGCCAGCCTCCCAGCACCCTTGCCTGCCGTGTGCCTGGTAAATCCCAATAAAAGCCTGAAAAGCCACTGAGGGCTCCAGGACTCTCTCCTCCTTACCTTATCTGCTCAGGTCATAGAGAACCTGCACTGTGTCCATTCCTGCCACTACAGTGGGTCTTCAGCAAAATTTTGAAACTTTGATATTTGTTCTCAGCACTGCAAGTTTCTTCTTCCTTTTGGTCCTTCCTGGAGTATCTTGCACTCAGGACTTTCTCTTCACTTCCTGTTCTTTGAATCGTCCTTATAGCAGCCCCAAACCCCTGCTGGATTCCTACCTTGTTCAGGTCTTTG